GTGTTGACTGGGGACAATTAGTAAAAGATTAAAATGAGTTATTAGTAATTTTATGTTGCAGATCTAAAATTAAGTAAATGCATGCCTCCCACGAATACTCAAAATCCATGTTTTACTAATTTAGTTACTAAACTGCTTACTTAGTGCTATATTTTCTGTTGTCATTGCACTTGAGACTGAATTAGAATCATAAAATCTTGCTAATTAATGTTTTGGGTTTTTTTTTCCTTAGATGTCATCTCTTTCTTCTACTTTACCTGAAGTGCACTACTACTACTTAGGAAAAGAGCATTAAAAATCTCTGCAAGAACAGGTTAATAGGGAAGAGGACACATAATGTTTATCATACAAACAGATATGATGTTCCTTTCATGTATTGGTTAGTTTAAAACATGAATAAAAAATACCTAAATTGAAAAAAAAAAAAAAGAAAACAAAATATCCCCCTTTTCTCTCAGCATCTCTGTCATCAAAAATTTGACAGTAGTGCACATCCAAAGCTTTTATCAAATGAAGCCACTCATCTTTACGTTGTTACATCTGTTTTATTGTAAAATACTAGACATTTCCGTATTTACTGTGTATGTATTTATTTTACAATGTGTAAGTCTTATGTAAATGGATATAAATATGATTTTTTAAAAATTAAATCTATGGTACATGGGGTCTCAGTGCAAACATTTGACAATACAGTGTCAATAATACTGTTTGTATCTTTCCATTCCACCATTTTTACAGTTTTTGGATTGTAACAGTCAAATTAATATGTTTAGCAGAGTTAGAAGCTTCAACATGTTCCTACTGAGAAAAATCTGTCAATATTTAAAGCTGAACATCTGCCTCTGATGATGTATATTAGAATGACATAACCTGGAACTGAAGCCAAAATGGACCTCTACAGACAAAATGGAAAAGTTAAATACCTACAGAGAAGCACCATGATGGCTCATCTCTTAAAAACAAATACATAAACCCAGAAGAACTGTTTATAAAAAAATAAAAAGCAATTTAATAAAACATGATTTGTACAAAAAAACCAAAAACTTTCTTCTACGTTACCTGCGGACCAAGAAGAATCTTGCTTTATCAAGAGCCACCTTTTCGTTCCAGGATCCTCAAACACCAGCCAGCATTGGAAAATGAAATCTAATATTTGCATAGAATCAGATTCTTCTTTCCAGATATATTCAGCAAAGAAAAAGAAAGAAAAAAGAAGCCAACCCCCACCATTTCTTCATTCTAACAGGGCATTAGACAGACTCCTGTCTAACGTTATGCTTTTAGCCAAGATGGCCTTGCTGAGACTTCACAAAAGTCAGTTTTATCAGAGGAAATAACTGAAAGACAGAGTGATTAATATATAGTGTATAAAAGTTTAGAAGAGCAACTATTACCTGCTGTGGCTTTATTTGGTGGTGTTATTGTTGTTTATTCTTTGTTTAAATGGGAAGTTTCAAAGTAAGACCTACTTAATAGTCATTTACCTATTTGCTATTTTTCTGCTGCTTGATCTTAGCTCAAGACCTGTCTTTTAGTTATTTCTTTTAGCAGTTTGATCTGCAATGTTTGCACGTACATAAACATTTGTTTTGTCTATTTTTATTTGGCAAACTTCGGTCAATCAGATGGTGAAAGATTTTTCTCCCCCAATGTCAATAAAAAAGAGAATTCAGTGCTATTTGTGTTCATTAGTCTATTAAGTTTGGTACGTAATAGCATTAAGTTTGGAAACCAGATACTTCTCACAGCTAAGCACAAGAACATTTTGGCACTAAGAGAGATTATTACGATGGAGTTACTGGTGAGAATCTGCCACGAGAGGGAGCACAGATCTTGCTGATGGGTGCAAAGTGCTGGCAGGGGTATAGCACACAACTGTACAAAGCCAGGGCTCTTGTATGCACAGTTCCTTGGACTTGACCAGCATTCTTCTCCTCCCTCAGCCTCCTTTTGGATTATTTTAGGGCAGAATATCACAAAGTAAAGTAATGCAAACACCGTTACTGTCACTGGCAGTGGCAGCAATATCATGTGACTATGCATTCCCTCAAACAACAGCTCTTGTTTTACAAGTGCTGGCAGGGGTATAGCACACAACTGTACAAAGCCAGGGCTCTTGTATGCACAGTTCCTTGGACTTGACCAGTGCAGTCGCTGTCGCTGCACTGTAAAACTGTTCTGTAAAACAAGAATTCCTTTTGCAGCTGACACTAAAACTTAGGGGGCAAAGGGGAATTAAGTGTGTTGGGGAAAAGAATGAGCAAGATTTTATGACCAGTGTGGAAGTTGTCCTGCCCCAGGAGTACAGCACACACATATATATTTCAGTGGAAGAAAACAGACTAGAAGAATTTAAAATGGTATTATTGTGACTTCAGTTTTGATTTAAGGATAACATATCATGCCTCCTAATTCACCCGTCACCTTCACACAAGCTGAAGCTCTACCCTCTACAGCTAGAAAAAGCAGTTATGCTAAATGTTGCCTACTTGGCTCCAACCCTTTCAGTACACTGAGAACAACTACTACATGTGCCTCTTCCAGCCAAAATTCAGCAATTCAATGACCATTCAAATCTACCCACTCACTGCTAATCTCTAAAAACAAAAGTAAGAAAATTAGTGCTGTACTACCACTTGTTAAATGGGCTTGTTCTTCTTTATGGTATACCCTGGTTGCTGGGCAGCAGCAGAGCCATGTACAAGGGTAACTACTCCTTCTCCCTTTCTTGAGCTTGGCTAAGACAAAGCATTCTGCAATTGCAGTTCCTCAGCAAAGGCTCTTTTGGAAAACAAAAGTAATGGCCATGAAACAATGATTTCACCATGCTGTATTGCTGCAATAAGGTGCCTTTCTTTGTCTAGGCTTTGTGAATGTTGATGCTTAAGACATTTGACGTTTCTGGAATTCTCCACATTACCAGCATGGCAGTATAGCGAGTACACCTGAATGCTCTGTCCTCTTTTAAAATACGAGTCTTGATCTGAAATCACTTCTACCAAAATAGAGGGAAAGAAAAAAAAACCACAAGATCACAAGATTTTTTGTTAAAAAGAGAACATAAAAAAAAAAAAAACCCACAAGATTTTTTGTTAAAAAGAGAACAAAAAAAAAAAAAAAACCACCTCCAAGACAACAGCTCAGCCTTCCTCAAAAAGCAGAAATTATTACAAATATTTTTGTCATGGAGATGCCTTAAGAATGTGACCTGCTGAAGTTCTTCAAAAACAGTTCAGAGGAAAGATAATTTTTTCTTACTAATATTAATGTAACAAAGCCCTTCAGAAAAGTAAGTGCATGCCTGAATATCTTTTACTAATGCTGTTGAGGATTTTGTGGGTTTTTTTCACCTCCTTAAAAGAAGAGACCCAAACTAGAAAGCAGTTTACTTTTCCTTACAAATGGAGAAACTGGTGTAAGAACATGAGCTATCATTGGGAAAATTATGCAAGATCTAGGAAAATAATTCTCTTCTCCTACATGCATTGCAGGATCTCTTGTAGAGAGTTTCTGCTCTCACTAATTAGTTCCCCTCCCCTGCTCTTGTAATTATATGATGGCTGCAGCCAAGGTAAAGATAACAAATATACACAACAATGTCTCACCTTCAATTGTAAAAGGAGTGGCCACACACCATGTGAATGTGCCAGAGTTTCTCTGTGATAAGACTCTTATAGTGTATCACTGATTTAAAAAAAAACACACCACTGACAACTCCCAGGAATTCCCTCTTGCTCTGTAACTGTTCAGCACAGGTTGCTAAGTTGTAGCATTGTGAAAAGCAAAAAGTCTCTGCAAGTTAGTCCAACATTTGGCATGGGCCTCCTGTTAAAGCCTTTGTACTTGAATAATTCATCCAGAAGAAAATAAAATTATAAACTAACTGCCACTTCTATAAGAAGTATTTCACAAAAGTTTAATGACATCTCTGCAGAGCAAAATTATTCCCCCTTTTAAATCTCCAACCTGTATATTTAGCATATCTACCATAAAGCATCTTTACTCAGTTACTTTGCATGTGTTATTCTCTGTTCAGATGGTGATTTTCAACCATCAAGTGAATAGCTGAGAGGGAGGGGGAGGACCTTATGCAATGATTTGGTAGGAAACAAGGACAGCCCAGGCTCAAACTGGGCTGGTTTAGCATGACTGGCCCAGCTGTCTGCAGTCCCTAGTGAAAAACACATGGACATTTCACTCAGCTCTTATGTAACTGGTAGAGCTCACCAACTCCACAAAAGTGTCACAAGCACAAGGCACCACCAGGGTATGGCTCATGTTAAGTGGAACCTATCACCTTTTAGCTCCTACATCAATCTGTTGGTTTATTTCCTCACTTCACAGGGATATCATCCTTACCTCTATCCAGCACTACATAACAGTATTTCTGGACCCTTCTGGGGACCTCTCTTATACAACAACATCATCTACTTACTGTTTCTTTCTCTGGTAAGCACTGCTGAGTTTGAGCAACTTCTCTGCTTTATACTTTTCTGGGAGCATCTATTTTTAAAAGGACCTTTACATTTATTGTTCAATTAAATAACTGCAGTTTGAGAAGAAATGTAGGTAGAAAATGTATCCTCTATCCTGTGGCTTGTTGAGAACCCTGTAAATGTCTGGAATGGCCTACAAATTCCACAATGGGCTGCTTAGTATCCATATTTGCTAAATTTCTTGGTTATATGTATCTCAGCTTAAAATGTTTAATTATGGCAGCAAAAGCACATTCTGGTTGTCCTTATCATAAGGGATACAAACCAGAAAAAAATTACCAGAAAATGCAAAGGGTAAATGCCTGCCTTCATTTATATAATATACATGGAGTATTTGGAATATTACTGTGAACAAATCAAGATTTTCACAGATTTGAAAGCCAGAAATTATTTATCATTTTACAAAAAAGACTCTTCAAAAAGTTATTGAGTAAAAAATTTATAGAAATCTAATTTATGGCAGAAAGACTTAGGGGAAAAAAAAGAAAATGGAATCAAGAGAACTAATCTTAAAATTTTAATTTTAGAAAAAATCTAGAAGACAAGAGCTAATAATTTACAAGTAAGAACAATTTATGTCTGCAACAATTTTCACAATCAAATTCCTTTTTTGCTGTCCTCTGTTCATAGTCTACCTTTTGTAAGCTGCTTTAGCCAAAGAAAAGTTACTGGTCACATTATAAAATAACAGATTGAAATGCAAAGTTACATGACACCATATAAGATGGATAATCCAATGACTCCTGCCCTTTAAAACTACAGCAATGTATGAATTCTATTTGCAATTCTTAGCCATCTTAATAACCAGCATATATTGACAGCATGCAGAGACTTTATTGTGTGTCAGTGGCTGTGGCAAGATGGCAAAGAACAGAGTAATGATTGTGCAGTAAAAACATTTAGTCCCAAATCATTATTTGCTTTTAAAATGTGTTATTAACAAGAAAAAGCTTCTTTGTATACTTGAAAAACTGAAATGCTCATTATTATGTATTATCCCATTTAATTTTTCTTTAGCAATTCTTCAATGTGTTTAAACACACTAGCATCTTCAATGGTTGGTGTTATCTGAAAAGTAAGAATACAGTAGCATGTGATAGTAGATAAGAATTTCATTCAGAGATTGTTCTAAATTTATACTTCAAAAGAAGTCAAGAAAAAAGCATCTGTAATGCTCTGAAATACGAAAATATTTTGGATAATCAGCAATAGAAATAAAACATAAAGTACTACCTGAAGTCGTGGACCAGTTACAGAACAGTCAAGGCACCATTTTGTGCCTTTGGATGTGCATGTGTGCCTAATTCACTGAAGCAAACATCTCTAAATTACCTTGTATGGCTTTCCACTGATGAGTGCAGAAAGAGCAGAACGTGGAATCTTGCCAGAGCGTGTTTTTGGTAGCTGTGTCACAAACATCCCCTTCTGGAAAGCTGCTACTGGACCTATGTTGGTCCGAACTCGCTCAACAATCTCTTCCAAAATCTTACTCTCTTGTGTCTTTATACCTGGTGAAGAAGGTAAAATCCTTTATCTTTTCTGAGACTTTTGCAAGTGTTAGTGACATCAGTTGTCAGTGAGTTCTCACCTTCTTTCAGTACACACAGTGCAAATGGAACATGTCCTTTTAAAGGATCCTCCTGGCCCACAACAGCACAGTCTGCCACAGCAGGATGGAAGAGAATACACTGAGGGATGGAAAAGAAAATTAAACTGAACTAAAAACAGACAACATTTCAGTGAAAAAAAGTGGTATGGTATGGTATGGTATGGTATGGTATGGTATGGTATGGTATGGTATGGTATGGTATGGTATGGTATGGTATGAATAAAAACCATAGACTTTTTCTTACATTTTGACAGCAAAAGGTCAGTACAATTAGAATTCTGATTACATGTGTTGAAGATGTACGTGTGTGTATATATTTTCGTATATACTCACACATGCTTTTCAAACAAACAGAAGAAATAAAAACCTTAGCAGCACAAAATAGAAATATTGAACAAACCACAGGTAATTTCCTTACAGCGTTGTGAGAGTATCACATCTTTGGTTTTGTTAGTGAGATCTCTGCTGGAACAAATAACATTTGTCTAACATTATGAGTAACGTGGTGCTTAAATGCAGGGAGTAAGGACCAAAACCACAGGAGCACTCCCACTACAGACTTTATAAGTCTATTGGTTCATTTTCTCTGACTGGTTTTCTTTTCCATTCTTTGTTGCTGTAAAAGCATAGTTTCAACCAAGGCCAAATACATGCCCAGCCTTGCCTTGCAGCTAGCCTAGCTCAGCTCACTCTCTTGAAAACATTAGATCTCAACTTCCTGAAACAAAAAAGTGAGCTTCCTTCCTTCCCACTACTTGTTTACACAACATCACATTGATAAAATATATCAAACTCTTTATTAGGTAAAAAAATGTAAATTTCCAATTAGCCAGCTGAGGTACTCACTTCCAGGAAAACAGACACCAAGATACATACCAAGATGTATGTCACTAAGTCTGGGACAAAGCTGGCCTTAAGATGCCACCAGTTGTGAATCCTCTTCCAAAGCAACTGGCTCTTTTTAATTTACCCCCTCACATTGGGGCATTTTGCTGTCAACAGTGTTTTCAGCACTTTTCAGTCCTCTGGACTCGACCACAAGGAGGACCTAATCTGACCCTACACAGAAGCCACATAACGTGATTGTGCTTGTTAATTTATCTGTGCATACAAAGACTATGTACTTGCTAATAACTGATCTTCACATACTGTGTTCCCAAAATCAAAGGTTTTAGGAATAAAGACACTTTTTGGTTGTTTTTATTAAGTAGGAACACCACATTTGCACTGGCTACTCATACAATGGTGTGAGAATGTGAAAGACAGGAAAAGTACAGAGAAGACAGGAAGAAAAACCCTGAAAGAATAGAAAGCTGTTGCCCTGATTAAAAAAGGGAGGTTCTTGTATGACCTGTTTATGAAACTGATGGGGAAAGAAACAATTCAAAGGGTTTATGATAACCCATTTTCAAAACAGATTTCACCATCCTTAGGCTTTATAGTCAAAACAGGAAGGAGTGTCATGGTCAGTACAACACACACTAAATAGTTTTTAGCAAAATAAATCCACTCAATGTGTTTCTAGCACTCTTTGTCAGAAGCTATACTCATTTCACAAACTATGATCCTAGACATGTTCCATTCCAGAAAAAAGGCTAATGGAAAACACTGACCTGACAGCAGATGCATACTCTATTGAATTACAGAAGCATGACCACTTATGCACAGCTTTCAAAACTGGATTTTTCACAGCAATTAAATACGATATGCACAAACTAAATACAGAAGAGTGCACTGGGCTTATAAAAGAATTAGAAGGGCAGAAGAGCCTACTTTAAAAAGCTGAATATACACAAAAGCATTTGAATTCAGGTACAGTCTACCTTGTCCAAAAGTCTTTGTATCTGCACTGACAAATCAAAGAGGAATTAATCTTATGCAAGTCCAAATCTCTACAGGGTTTCATTGCATCACATAGATTTAATACACTTTGGTCACCTACAGGCCAGAGCCTCAGTAATGCATTCCATTTCTTGCTATAAATATCTATTTTTCCCTGCTGTAACTTCTTGACCATGGCCATAGAAACCTGATAGGCATATATACCCAAAAGGAAAAACAAACAAACAAACAAAAACAACAACAACCAAAAAAAAAAACCAAGAAAGAAAAAGACAATGAATAATGAAAAAGTAGACTATTAAGTCTACAACCACAGTAAAACAGTAAATACTGTTTTCCACAGGAACACAGGAAAAATACCTACACTAAATTGGCATTACCATCAAATATCATAATTGCCTACCAGACACCAAAAGGACTCCTAAAGAGAAGACTTAATTGTTGCCAGATTATTTTGTTGCACCTTGTTTTTGTCATTCTAGTCTGTCACTTATTTGTAAGTATTATGGTTAGCTGGAATAGTGTAGTTATTGTAGTATTTTTCTTCAGTCTATCCCAAGTTCTATCAACATACCTTTGACTTTTCAAATGCTAACTTCAAATTACTGAAATCAGTAATTAATAAATTTTAAATTTTAAAATTAACAAACTTCATAAAACAACTGAAAAGAAGAACAGAAACAGCACTAGACATTTAAAAATTGTTTAAAAGTAATAAAAAACTTCAGGAAGTGAAATGGTTTTCCTAGTATGATCATGGGGTACAAGGAGGGATGGCAAATGCAGCAGCAGACAGAAACACTGTGATCAGGGGAAAGGGATTTCTCATTATAAATTCCTCAGTTCTCAAATCTGTTGCCTCAGATAAACAAGATTTGACTAAGCTTTTTTTATTCAAGGGGCAAGGAGGGACACCACAGATGTACAGACCAAAGAAGAAGGTAGGATCAACATGCAAGATGAGGTTCCCATAATGGCCACCATTCACTAATTGGCCAGGTAAACTCTAACATCTACTGCATTGCAGTAAACATGGAGCTCCAATAGTATTAACAGGTACATTAGACAAAGGAACTCATTGTGTGGAACATAACAGAGCTAAAACACTTAGTCAAAGCACTAAGGGAAAACTAATAAAACTTGTAATGCAGCTAAAATGTAAATGTAGATAACGTACTTGCTTAACAAGGTGATTGTCAATTACATAGTGACTCAATGGACCTCTAATTCTGTAGTTACTGATCTTACTGAGGAGCAAACTGCGGTGTTCTTACCACTTTTCCATTTAACTAGCAATTTCTTGTGCATGCACTAAATCACTCCTGGTTTTCAGCTTTGTTCAAAAGGTGAATAGAAAAGCTTCTAGAATGTTACAGTGATGAAACATTACGTTTCTAGGGGTAAGACCTAACTAGTAGGGAAAGAAACAGAGATGCTGAGCTTAGTATGATGGATCCAAAGGTAATACAGTAGATGAGGTGATTCAATTAATCATTTGTTACAGCAGCTTCAGACCCAGGCTGAAGCAAAGAAAATGCCCAGCTCGGCCCATGAGTAGTAGAGCAATAAGGGGTTGGGATGAGATTCCTGCTGTGCTTCAGTAAGGGAACACAAAAAACTACTCCTAAGGGAAAGAGGTTTAAGCAGACTGAAAGCACCTTCATATCTCCATAGACCTAAGTCATGCAGCAGCTGTTTCAGCTCCCTGTCTGACCGATCCTTGATGGATTAATGTTCATGTGAACTTGTTCACTTCAGTGTAATTAGAATTTCTTCTATTCTAATCTTTATAGCCTTCAAAATAAAGTAGTCACTAGACCAACAGACAATATAAACCAAAAATCAACTCACAGATTAGTTTCTGATTCAGTGAACAGCTGAATTCAGAGTTCTTAAAAGCATATTTTTTCTTGTAGACGCCCAGCACACCTTTTCCTATACTCTCTGAATAAGCAATTGATATGTCATCAGGGAAATCTGTAACTGGCAATCAATCACAGTGACTCCAAAAAGGTAAGTGAACAATGATATGAAATTCAGACACTATTATGAACTTCACTATTTTCAACTTTTTTGAGTTGCATGGGTATTACGTTAATGACTTTCAATTTAACAGCAAGGTTTTTAACAGAAATTTTCATTGTTCATTTAGCACTGCTCACACAATAAGAGACAAAACAGCTGTCAAAAAACTCTGAAGTCTTCCAACCAAGAAAAAGCACTGAATATTAATCTCTGGGAAAAAAAAAATCAGCCACTGATCACTGTAGTTTAGGCAAAGAAGTTTCTGCTACTAAGTAGTAGAAACTACTACTGCAGTAGCTGGTGAAACTCCCTGTCACACTGACTCTACACTATCCTAATGCAGTCCCAAATAAACACATTATTGGAGCTAAAAGGTATGCTTCCCACCCTCCCACACTGCTCCTTAACTCCATCCTCAATCATCAAGTTATGCCTGCCTTACCAATCCCACAGTATAAAGTGCTTATTATTGACTAAATTTGTTATGTTTCTGAAAAGCATCTTAACAGAAAGAACCTGAAACAGGAAATACTTTGGTTAAAAGTACCAATGGAAATGCAAACAAAACAAGTAGGGAAAAAAAGAGAAATCTTTCTGTGTGAGATTTTGAGAGGTGGTGAAATGTGGGATTTTCAGTCTCAGCTTGTTTTATTCATCTTTCACTCTTCTATTTTGTTGTCAGGCAATGCTAACCTCTTCAATAGCACCTGCAGAAATTCTGTGTCCAGCAACATTGATCACATCATCAGCTCGAGACAGCACATACAGATAGCCATCTTCATCCATATAACCAGCATCCATAGTATCATAATATCCCTAAATACAACAAAATGAAAAATAAATTCAGAAAGAGCACTAGGAATATTCATTAATTTAACAGAAAACACACACAGACAAAAAAAAAAAAGAAAAATAGTTTCACATTATATATGCTTTTGGTGCTTGAAAGATTTAATTCTGTAATATCTGTCACCATTTTTATATCATATTATCCTCTGAAGTTCACTTTACAGAAAGGTTTTGTTGTCTTTATTAATACAGAACAGAAAAAAATAGATAAACCCTGACTTTCTTCCAATTCTGCTTACTTTGATCCCTGACAGCTTGGAGATGGATGTTGCCTGGATCTACACAAGAAAAATGGAATTACTGCAATATGAAAGTTGTCAAATTGGTCCTAAAGATACTCCTGTTTGCTGTACCCAAACATACACTGTCATCATGATGCAATTGCACACTAAAAATAATTTGTGTGACCAATTCACTCACTTACTTTCACTGAGCCAAATCTTCCATTTTGAGCACTTGTATAGGGCCAATCGACCTATTTCTACAAGGAAAGAAGTAAGCCAATCCTTGGATAGTTCATCTGACAAGGAAACATAACTAATGCAGCAACGAGCCTCCAGTGTATTCAGATGTACAGTGGACAAGTGCGTATTTTGGAGTGATACAAAGTTAGCATGGCTGCATGCCAACAGGAGGAGTGTATTTGAAGCTGTGCTAGTGTAAGGTTGCAGGTTTATATCTTAGATTAAATGACATGAAATTACTTTTTGGCTCAGAAGCTTATGGTTTACTTCTTCTGTTTCAGATCTTAAAAAAACAACAGCATAACCAAGAGCTGAAATTTTAGGTGAAAAAGGATTTATCTTGAAACAGTTTTAATTATATAAACTTATATCCAAGACCTCAGTTCTGAAGCATTACCATTAGTTTAAATAATTGATTTCATAATTCTTACTGGAAACTTTTGGAAATATAACTTCTGAAATGTTTCTTGATTTTCCCAAAGACCTGAGAATGCTCCAGGAGGCAAAGGCAACCTTAAATTGAAAAGAACAGAAGGAAGTAGTAAGAAAAACAGATATAACAAATACAATTCACGCTCTCCATTCATACTTTGTTTTCAGACAAACAATCACTGTCCGAATGATTATTTGTCTGAAAACAGTTCAGCTTAATAATATGCTGGTAACAAAAAAAAAAAAAAAGGCTATGTATTATTGTCATCAAATGTATATAAGCTCCGCACAGTATCCAGACCTTACTTTTTGCATAATACAAGCACCTCAGTAACATAATATTTGGTCTAGGAAACACTATATACTGCATTATAAATATGTTAACAGCATTTAGCTTTTTAACATTTCTAAGGATTAAGCATCTGTTTGAAATTTGTGCATACACTATGATACAGGCAACTGCATTATTACAGGTCTCGCTTTCTCTAACACCCATACACACCCACACATGCACAGATAGATGAATTATCAGAGAAACAGATCTTCAGTTTCTGTAAAAAGATAAAACTCAAAGGAGTTCAATCACAACCATCTGAATACTGCTTTTCTGTTTAAACTGTGAATAATACTACTGGAAATACTGGAGAAGTTCTGTGAAAGTATATTAATACAAGTCACTAATAGAACTTTCTAAAATAATTGTACTTAAAGCTGCAAAATTCTGGATTGCCTTATTAGTTGAGTTTTGAATACATACTAAACCCCTTCTTCAGTCAATGATATGGGCATGAGAAAATATGGGACACCTCACAGATATATCTGTCAGAAGAGAAGCTGCAGAAGCCTTAGCTAAAAAAGTGCTTGTTTCTTTCTTCAAAGCTCTGACAGGGTCAAACACAGATTTCTTTAACTGCCTGAGAGATATATATTCAGGCATATCAGCACAAGTTTTATGAAGTTTACCCCTAATAACAGAGAGATAATGATCATGTAAACAAGCATATTTATTTACATAAAATCATAAATGCACCATACAGATTTTACCAGCATATGCCTGCATTGCTAACTAGCAAGTATTTAGCCAGAGGTATTTCATTTTCTATGATAGTATCCCTGTGAAACCAGAAGCTAACATCTCTAGCAGAGAAATAGTTCTACATAGCACAGCAATTCTGGTGTCATTACAAGTCTAGGATGGTCAGTCGCAAGAACAGGTGCCACCATCTCGGTGACATGTACATTTCTAACATGACATTTACAAAAAAATAGTTATAGTTATTTATATATATAAAAATAGAGAGAATGTGAGAGAAAAATCCTAGCTATGGTAAACCCAGTACAAACTACATTAAAAAGGTCATATCATCCAGTAATGATCTGAATGCTTGATTTTCTACAATCCTAGTTTTTTAAGCTTAATTCAGGTCAGCTAGCATAACAGAATATACTACTATAAATACTACTGCTTTTTCTCTGATGGTTCTGGCTCAACACATCCCATACATCACATTCCTTGAAAGTACAGTTAAGGTATGGCCAGAAATGCCAAGACACTTCCCACATAGTTACCCAGGGTTTAGGAGGACAGGCTGGCTTCTGCCCATCTGGAAGAAATTCACTGCCCTATTTTAAGCCTTTCAAGCTTAGTAAGTGTCTCTGTGATATAAAAACATGACCAGTGGGGTGTTTGCCTTGGGAAAAAAGATTGGAAAAACAATATATTGATCCTGGTGTTTGTGTATGCAAGTGTTTAAAAAGAAAGAAAAAAAAAATATCTCGTTTAGATTCAAGAAAAGCCACCAGAGAATGGCAGTTACTATGGTTGTTACCTGGTTGCTAATAACACAGCAATTCATAACAGCCTCAGTCATTGCAAATTTCACACTTTAAATTTATTTAGCAGGCTAACATCTTTGTGATGGGAGAGAAAGAACAATTCATATTGATAAAATCCTTAATTTCCCCACAGCTCTATTCAATACTTTGCAGTTAGTTACTGAATAGAAAAAAAAGTATTTTTGCTGAAATTAGAAAAGCATTTTCTTTTCTGTCATTGTTTAAAAATCTGAACAGAGAAGTGTGGGACATATCACCAAAAATAAAACCTTCACTTTCACTATTTAGTTTTCTAGTCCTTGTTTGGATTTTTTTCTTCAAATGGGGACACCAGGGGTGTCTCATGTTCTAGTTTGGTGGAGGTTTTTTTAGGAAAATTGTATTGATAAACACATCCACAGAGCATATTTTTTGTGTGTCTGTGGAAAACAGACTGCTTACTTAGTGGCTACCTCAGGTATCTCTGCAGCACATACCATAACACAACACAGACAACATCTGAAAATGTGCTTCCATGGCTTTCTGTGAAAGATTACTTGCAGTTAGGACCCCATTCATCCACTAAGCAAAAACTGAATGCCCTCTTCCAGGTGTCAGTCATTCAGCACAATAATTCCAGAGCAATGGGCAGATACAATTCTTTGAAGACAGCAGAGCTCTTGCCATCATGACTTAGTAGAATTTCTAGGTTGTGTGCAAACTCAAATTAATAAAGGTAGAATTCAGCTTGCCAGAACATTATTATGTGTATTGAAATTTTGTCAGGACATCAGAATTAAAATCTCCAGAGTCAAATATACCTCATAATGACTGCTGTCAGTGGGAATGCTGCCATAAATTCCAAAGGGAGCAGAACTGGATCATAATTACATGCAAGAAGCCAGAAGAGAGATAATGAGACTGTCCAAAAATAACAGCAACCTGAAAACAGACATCTCTTGTTTTTAGCAACTCCTCCATAAAAAAAAGGAACATTTTGAGATGTTTGATTTGGGTCTTTCTGCCCTGGAAAATGTAACACACACCCACAATAACTCAGCATTTGAAAACTGTTGCCTCTGTCTAAAAACTGAGTTGATACACAAGATCTTTTGGCAACATTTTTACTAAGAGATGTATTGACCAAAAATGCCAGGAATGCATACATAAGCATGACTGCCTCTCAGACAGTCCTGCTTTCCTTTCACAAGGGACAGGATCACAGAGGGTCAAGACAGGAGTAGGATGGTTCCTTCGTTATCATTTTCACAATACACAAAGAAGTTGTTTTCCACTTGGGACATATTTACTGTATTTCTGTAGCTGTCTGTTACCAGCACTGTAACAGCAGTACAAATTATGCTATTCTCCATTTGCTCCAGTCAAAGAAAGATTAAAATTGGTGAAGTACAAGAATACAGACCCAGGCCTATTTCTCATTTAAAGGTTGAATACATTTAAAGCAGCATCAGAGAAATGAGGCAAACTGTGTAAATTAATGATTTAAAACATATGGGTTCATTTAGCAAAGATTCATTCTGGTTACACTTTACAAAGATAAGCAGGTAATTTCATTATCAATTGGAGAGACTAAGATGAATGAGCTTGACAGCACCACAAAAAAACTCTGAAGTATTTTAACAGTAACTGTTTTCTGGTACAGAATTTTAAATGACAATTATTATTTGGGTTTTTTAAGCATTGTTTCACAGTTAATTTATTTTTCATGTAACAGTGGTAGACCTTTCAAAGAACAGTCCATCTTTAGCTTAGCCCAAGAAATCTGACTCCCACATAGCACATCCTTTCAGAATGCCACTCATCAAAATGGTGTAAGATTCCTTGTTAATGTAACCAAGCACTTATAGACGGAGAACTCAAAAGAGAATTTGCACAGAAAAGCAGATTTCTGAAATGAAATAATAAATTATTGGAGATGTTACCATGCTGGAATTCAGAAAAGACATTCTTTTATTTCATGGTAGGCAATGATACTCTGAGGCTATTCATTACAGCCAGTCAAAGTAAATACAAGCCACTGTTAAATGAGTTTGGGCTTCTGAATGGAACAAAATAATCTTGACTGGCAGCTATAATTATTACTCAGCATTTATGTAGGGTTATGTAGGGTTGTGCATAAATATCACTCTTATACAAATTTTTAATTGGAAGTTTGAAAGGCATCTGGAAGCTTTTCCAGACTATAGGAACAACAACACAGAAAAAAGGGTGAAGAAGGGTAGAGGATCTTGAACATTCATCAGTCTGCATGAAATATTACTTTAGTTAGCTGAAAGGAATTACAAAAGTAGTTGATCTCAGTGTGGATTTTGCTTTAGTGGGAAAAGAGAAAAAGCCATCAAAAACCAGTGAAAGTGCTTGGAAAAAATTCAAAGGAAGGAAAGTTCAAATGATATTTACATGTACTCAGCCAGAGATCTGCCATAAAAACTATCTTTGGAAAAATTGCTCTCACATTGGAAGACTGACTTATTGTTTTATCTGTAAAAGTAAAAGACAAAGCTGATAAACATATAGAAGGCTGTTAGGTAGATAAATCTTTTGCACAGGTTCTTTATTTAAACTGACCTTCCATATAGCACAAGCTGAAAGATGCCATCTACTAAATCCTGCCTCGACCCCACAACTTTTGGTTAAAATAGGTATCTAGATTAGGCCTAAAAATATCAAAGTAAACCACCATACTCCCAAGAATTCATTCCAATGTCTTAACACTTTCACTGCTAAAACAGTGCTTTATTTGTCATCTGAATGCATCTAGCTTCAGCTTCCATTTTATTTATGCTAGGTTAGACAGCCATCTCTCAGAGATTTTTTTTTTCCCCTGGCCTTTACAAGTTCACTAGTTTACTGATCTGGGGTGAATTCCATACCACAGGTTTGCATACTATGTAGATTCTAGCACTCGGGTCACTCTCATTCATATTTTCCTCAAAATGCAGTTACTTTCTCAACAGTCTTTTGAAATACAGTCATAAGAACCAAGCATAATGCATCAATGGATGTACTAACACCACACCCACAGGCAGTAAAGTTGTTTCCTCTTCAGTTTCCCTGAATAACAAGGAGTCATATTGCCTGCAGTTACACTAGCAGCTACCTTTCATTCAAAGATCCTGTGTACCCAGAGGTTTATCCACTGTACCAGAAAAAGCTCCTTTGAATGTCACTGCTTTGTAGGGCCCTTCATCTTATAGATCCAGCAAATTTTCACTTTACCTAGCTGTGTAGCCCTTGCTTACAAGAACACATTTTCACTGCCTCCTTTTCTTCCTGGGCAGTGGGAGAGCACAAAAAGAGCTGTGACTTTTCCCATGGGTGTATCCCAGTTGGAACAGCCAAATGTTAGCTCTTCAAGTCTTACAAGATCTTACTTCAGTTTTTTTAATGAATACCAAGGTACTATAGTGTGCTCAAAGGATTACATCTTTTTCTTTCCCTTTTCTTCCTTTAAGCTCTCTTGGTTAGCATTCTATTGAGCATTATAATGATTACAATCCTGGCCTCAGGTTGCTTCATCCTTTCACACAGACGCTGACTTTCTTTTTAACACATTGCAAGAAATATTGAATGAGTAAGCTCTCTATTGAACATTTATTTGGTCACTAAATACTTTATAAATATTGAACACATTACCACAAATTGGAAAACTGTCAATGGGTTGCCTAACGTGAATAACACCTCTTCTACTAAAGGACATTCATTCACTCTAAGGCATTTGCTTTGGAAGTACAGTCATGTTTCTCTTTGGCTAACTTATAATGTACAATCATAAAATTATGTGAATTTATCATCACTATTTCTTCATAAATATTTACTATTTAAAATTAATAAATATTTTAAATGTATTTCAGTTTTCACAGCACTGTACATAAAATTTAGCATGATTGCACTCGATACAATGGAGTGGGTCACCATTTGAAACATTCTAACTCTTTTAGAACATGGTGGTTTTTCTTCCTCTTCCTTCCCTAATTCCAAATCCACAAAAACAAAAAAAGTTCCACAACATTAGTAGTCTACATAGCCTCTCACACAGCCACTTTTCTTAAATACAATTAAACCAATGCAACTAAAGCATTTCAGTATCACCGTATGATGTAAATACATTATCTGACCACCTGCTGAATATGGAACATATTTATGTGATTCCATGCAGTGGAGATCACTAAAGCAAACTTGTAAATACTTACCCTGGAAAACTCCACCATCATGGTACAAAATTAACTATATAAACAGTAGAAGAAGTGTAACTAGGGTCTAGCAGCAAATTTACTAGAATTTCTTTTTCCTCTGGAAAAAACGAGCACAAGGCAAATGTAGTCCTGTTGTATGTAAATATAAAGAATAATGCTAGCTAATGAGACAGTGCTGATGACTGCTTCAAAAAAATAAACATAATCAGTTTGTGATATTTTCAATGTGTAAGATGAAAAACTGGAATTTACATGGGATTCCTCTTTGCTAATGTTCCTTATAAGAACAGACAACCTAGAAAATTCTTATGGCTAATCAAAATTACATATATACATACAAGTATATACAAGTATATTTTCAAGTGTGCATCAATTACAGGCAGGCCACAGCAATGCAAGAAGAAGTGTGTCACTAAACCAGACTGATTGTGCTAATGGAAATGGAAGTCACTGCTGCTATCATTTTCACTTCAGAATAAATTCTCAGAATCTTTCATGTCCAAAAATTCTAGCTCAGAAAAAAATACACAGAAATTTAAAAACAATTCATACAAGCCCAGCCTCATAATCTGCAGTTACCTTTATTTTCCCTTGTCCTTCTATCACATTGCTTTCAATTATTATATCCTGAAAGACCTGTGAAATTTGAAATATTATTGCATCGTCCAGGTAAACTAGTATCTATGAGCGTTTTTATCCAAGAATAATTCATTCAAAGGGCAGAGATGATGGTTATATGGAAAAAAAAACCCAACAAAAAACAGAACAGATATCAGTTGGCAGAAAAGTAAAGAAAATAACATACTTGAGGCAGCAAGTTAGAGCAATTAGATATAAGCACTACCTTTTTAGAGTATTTGACTCCTGCAGGATGAAATTAAAATTTAAAGCTCTGCTGTAAGCATAGATATTTTAAATACTGTACTTAGGAAAACTGCAGGCCTCAAGCAGCCTGAAATAGTCTTTACCAGGAGTTAGTCTGGGATAAAAACAACCAAGAGCTTCAGTTTACCACTTCTGCACAGCTGTCATTGTAAGCAGTGCATGGCCACTCTCCTCTCCAAGAAATACTTAAGAATATTTCTCAAGTCACCTATGCTACAGGTGAAGCAAATCCCTGTGTTTTTTTCATATTTTACTAGGCTGTATGACAGAATAATAGTCAGAACTATCCTGAGTCCCCTGTTTTCCCTCACGCTGCAGGGGAACATGCTCTGGGCTGACAAACAAACACTGTTAGTAACAAGGATCATCTCCACTACTTTAAAGGGTCTGTATATGTAGAAGACTGCTGAAGAGAGAAATGCCTTCTTTGAAGGAGGACTTCATGAAACCTTGCTTCAATAAAAAAATAAAATAAACAATACAATAAACACAGACATGATAAAATAATAGTATCCCTGTGGGATTACACTTTCTTGAGTGATACGCTGCAAATAAAAACCAAAAAACAAACAAAAAATCCTCCCTCTTTTCATTATCAATTCATTTGATTGCAGCAAAAGTCATGCTGAGCAAGATAAAACAAAACAAATGAAACAACAACAAACCAATATATTAACACATTTGTAATCCCTTCAGAAAACATCTACATGTGGGGCAACATTAGGGAAGATAAATTCTGGCTAGAAGAGGTAGACATTAACCCTAAACAGAATCTTCTAATATGGCAATAATCACTTCTGACAGGCACTTAAAGACAGTAAAACTCAAAAACATATGTGTGCATATTGCAACATTACCTGTTAATCTGTCTTTAGTTAGTTTTGTTTGGCAGAGTTGCTAAAGGTGGAGTTCATTCCACTCTTCTTTTGGTAGATAAGGCTAAGTACCTACCCTAAGCCAACTGTGCCACTCCTGGAGGCACTGGAAAGGGATTTATTCCATCCTAGCTGAATGACTAGGCATCAATAACAATAACTAATCTGAATATCTAAGCAGCTAGGATCAATTTTCTTACAAAATACCTTTTCTCTCTCGATTGATTACAATCCTGTGTTTTAGTATGGCTTCAGACACTACAGAGGTGAGAGCTTGGAAAGACAGTTTTCCACCCTGAGCTGGGTTACTGATATTGTGAACAAAAGTCTATAAAAGATTGGAGCAATTTTAAGTACTTGTGCTTGGTATGAATGTACATATTCAACAATGGAGTGAATGCACAGTCTTACACACGTCTCAAGAAAACTACACCTAAATATGAGTTTGCTGACTTGGGGGAGTTAAACCTACACATCTGTGTCCTGGTGGCTTAGCTGAAGATTCTGAGAATGAGGCAAGGTATAAACTTCATCCAGAAAACACACATCTGCATCACACAATACAGTAAGTTCATGTGACACTACTTTAGTCTCCACAGGGTCTAGTTACATAAGATTAGTCGTAGAGCTGAGTGAAAAGCCTCCCCACCTCAGCAGCTCCACCTCCCACACAAGCACTGCGCCAGCCCACCCACACTGTTGGTGCTGCACGTCTGCAGCTCCAGCGCGGCAGCTCCTGTCTCTCACCCCCAGCTCGTGTCCCCCAGCCAACTGCAACCCTCAGCTAACTGCGCTAACAATTCAACAGAATTGTTGAATGCTTCATCCACTTCAATGCTTCAGCTTTTGACAGCTTTTCAGTTCACTGAAGGTTAATACTAATCTTTGCATTTCCTTTCATTCGTCTAAGCAAGCAGTGAAGACTCTGAGCCACCACAACTCTCCAAAAATCTACCACAGAAGAAATGGAAGAATACATTTCCTTTGGGACTGGTATTTGCTCTCAGTTAGAAAGTGTTCAGAGCTGAAGTTATTTTCTGTGACTGAAAAAAAAGGTGGGTACAGATACCACATTCATCACAAAGCAGGTGTCTCTCTCAGAGGAAAAAAAACTGTTTGAGGAAAATGCCATTTGCCTGAAAGCCTGTAAAACATCCAGAATACAGAGCTGGCAAGGGCTGTAAAGAGCACTAGCCCATAGAATGCTACAGGAGTAAGGAAAGATCCCGGCAACAGTGAGAAGGCAGCAGGATAAATGTATCTGATGATGTTCGGGTGATCTAAACAGAGGCCTTTTTATGTAAGGAAATGTGCCTTAGAAAGGTGTACTTTCAAAAAGAATATTAGAGTTTATGGAACTCATCTGTCAGGAGTCTGGTAAATGGTACTATAAATCACCTACATGATGCATAGCAGGGTTTTTTTTTTCTTTGTTTTTTTTCCTGGAGTCCTTTCCTGCATGTATTTTGTCCATGTACTGGTCTAAATGAACACTCTTTCATGGAAAGCACACACAGGAACATCTTGCTGTATTTTTTTTTTTACAGAGAACTGAAAATACATGGTCTCCTTCTAAGAAGGTGCATCAGTTGGGATTAGGAGATCATGAAAGAAGAGGCAGCATCACACCTGTAAACTGAAGCATGCCAATCTGTATTGCTGTACTATTTCACTAAATGGAAAGATAAAATAGTGAAGGGAATGATTCAGTATCTTGCTCATACATTAAAAGAGGAAGGCATCATTCTGTGCCAACACTCTGATAATTTAGAAAACGGTAAACTTTGCTGTAGTCTAAGAAAAACTCATTCATTCACACAACTTTATCTGCAATTTTTCAACATTAATGAACATAAAACATCCAGGGAGTTTGCTATCCGTATCAGAGACAGACAGACATGCTTTTCAATTCTCATTACTTCAATTATTAACTTTTGACTAAAGACAAACAACCCATGTAGGAAGTTTTTTTTAACTGTACGATATTTATTTTTCTTACTTTACCACAATATTTCCCAAAGTCTTTGCCTTCACTGGTTTCTTATTTTCATCCAGAATCATGACTGTAAAAACATAATATAGGAAGGAAATTCAAGTTTAGTAGTATATTTTTAGGAGAAGGTAAATGTCTTTCTTTATGGATATCAACTTATGTCACACTTCAGAATGCCAATACACCAAGCAACAGAAAGAATTAAGTAATTTGTGAGTGCCAAACTGGATAATCTCTACTTTATTAACATTCAGCCTTAAGTACGAAAAGTCTTAAATAATACTTGTGCTTTGGAAGCAGAAATAGCACAAAGTCCCAAAAGGGAAAAACACAGAACTAAAAAGTAAAAGAAGCTTTCATACTGGAAAATCTAAACTTCTACACAGCAAAGGACCATTAAGATACATGACAAATATAAATAAAAAATATGTGGGTGACATGAGCAAGAAATAACAACCAAGATGACTGAAGTCTAACCCCATTCATGTGAAATACTATTAGCAGTACATAAGTAAATCTGGTTTTCTAAGGCTTTCAGAAGTCTCAGGAAAATGCCCTTCAGCTAACAAGATTCATTGTAGTCTAACATAAAGAGGTTAAGAAACTCTTGAAGTACCCAAAGTTGCACAGCAGGCTAATGCTCAAAATACAGGACAGAACCCAGACTTCCTAAATGAAGCCTTTTCCCTGGATGACAGGGGTCCACCACCTTCAGTGAAAGCATCATATCCTGATACTGAGATTTCTGAGGAAATCATCTGAAATAGCCTCTTTTGGGCAGTTATCTGGGAAATGAAGTTACTACCATCCATTCCATCTCAAGGTGTGGGCATAAGAAAGGAATGACAGATACCACCTTGGCCTATGATAACAAAATTACATGAGGTGAAGCAACTAAACCACAGAAAAACAGGGAGGGAAGAGTCTGACAGACTGGGCTGATAAGAATTACAAGCTTTTTGAAGCCTGCCCAAGCAATGAAAGCAATGTTCAGCTGTATCTAAATCTCTACAAATAATCTTACATTCTGTATTACAAAGTTCCAGAGGAAATGGGGAAAAGTGGATGACAGACTTCTGACTAAAACTCTGCTAAAACATATATGAGTAATATCATATCCTATCTCTTCAAAGAGCACCATCTGTAATTTACTCCTTCTGGCTGAAGCTACTCCTTCAAAGGTGATGGTAATTTTAAAGTAACAGAAGAGCCTGCTGGAAGCAATGGCTCCACACACAGACACAAGCAAGTACACAAGGCCAGTTTTACACAGACCCGATGGTGTAGCTGTCAGTGTTTTCTCTCCTATTTTTATGATACTAAGTAAAATCTAATCAGTTTACTGTAACTGTTTCATCAAGGCTCTAATCCCAGTATTTAGTCTTTTCCTTGGAAGCTACATATTTCAATGCAGAAAAATTTGGGTAAGTGAGATACTGTGCTGCTCACTCCTGAATTATTGAAGAACTGGCTTGTTTCTTCAGAATGTGGGAACCTGCATCAGTCTGAAAATGCACTGTAATTACCTGCAAAGGTTCAAGTAGATCAATGGAAAAGCACAGTATAATGTCTGATTAAAGGCAACAGACCTAGAAATTAATATTTTATCTTGACTCACTTTTAAATGCAATTTGTGCCACTATACTTTGATATCATAACTTTTATTCCTTTTGTCCCTAAAAATCAGCAACAAATCACTTTCTTTTTAGCAATGAGTAATAGGAAACAATATGTACATGTTCCAAAAAAAAAGTGGATCTTGCAACTTCCTTTATATTCCAGCATGTCTTTACCAGCCATTTAGAGTTGTATGTATAAACTAAAACCACAGTATCTTCTAACTGGCATAAGGATCTCCTCTAATAAGTATAGTAACAGCAGGAAAACAACACCAAAGAGAAGTGGATGACAGCAAGACAGCGGCCAAAATAGAGTAATTTTTTACAAATCACTAGTTTGTGAATAGCTACATTACAGGACATATTTGGTCAAGGACTGAAAGAAGTAAAATTATTCCATAAATCTTTAGTGAATTTCAGTGCTCTTTTTTTGTTTCCTTTATATAGTTTGCTAAAGACATTTCCATCATTCTCTTCGAAGAAAGTCTTTACTTACACTAGTCCCAATGTTCCAAAATATTCATCAGAAATTTTTATCTTCTTGTTACTCGTATTTCTTCCTAGTCCTGACTATCATGCGATAACATGTGTGATGCAATTACATTCTTTCACCCTTTCCTACTTATTAGAACTCTGGAGAAACTTCATGGCTTTGTTTCAATGTTGTTTTTAAACTATTGCTCATCTTCATGCCATAACTGTAAGTGTCAAAACCAAGAGCTCTTAAAAAGATTTGAGGATTTTTAATGCTCACCACCACCTACATGTATAAAAGATACATAACAGCTTAGATCTTTTTGACCAATGATGTGAGAATTTTTTCTGAAGACCACTTGACCTTTAATTTAATTATTTTTCAGACTTCAAGTAACTTTTTAAAATTGTGGTAAAATCAGGTTTCCCAGGTATTAAAATACTTCTGCATTCTTAATCCTGCAGCTGCACCCCTACATGCAAATACCTTCCAGACAGTGAGTTCTCATCCTTTTTGTGTTGGTCCATAGCCTACCATTTCTCCTGGCTAGAAACAAAAATGCTCCACAGATACTGAAAGACAGTTTGCTTAACAACCCTCTCAAGTTGTGTAGAAGTGCAGTAGTGCATGTAGAAGTATAGATGAGTAATGTGTCAAAGTATGTGCTAGACTTTCCATATAATAAAGGCAGAAGTAGTTAATCAATTTTCTTGAACATTACTCTGAATTTTTTATTCATAATCACATTCTACAACACATAAGAAAGCACGAAGAAGGAAAATATCTTCATAAGACTGTAATTTTCTTTTACTACAAGATATGACAATTAAGGAGTACTTACTCAGGAATATAAGCAATGTCCTTTCCTAGCAACATATTTAGCACAGTCTTACCATTATATCCTGGCACTGGTTTTCCTGCCTGTCCAGGTGGAGGTGTTGTAGAGTTCCCCAAACCAATGCAGGAAGCCGTAATTGCAGAACCAGATTCTATTAAGAGAACACACATACTATCAGTTAAGGCTGGTTTTAGTTCCGTTCAGTATTTACTAGTTCTAAGTTTCTTGATGCTCAGCACATCAACATTTTTTTAAAAATTCCTAGACAAACATTGCAAGATTTAGAATTCACAGAATCATACAATATGCTGAGTTGGAAGAGACTCCCAGATATCACTGAAGTCCAGCTTCTGGTCCTGCACATAACACCCCCAGGAATCACACCATGTGCCTGAGAGCATTGTCCAGGCACTAAAACTCTGTCAGGCTTGGTGCTGTGACCACTGCCCTGGGGAGCCTGTTCCAGTGCCCAACCACACTCTGGGTGAAGAGCCTTCTCCTAATATCCAATCTAAACTTCCCTTGGCTCAGCTTCATGCCATTCCCTTCAATTATGTCACTGGTCCTGAGAGGAAAGAGATTGGTACCTGCCCCTCCACGTTCTCTTGTGAGGGAGTTGAAGGCTACAGTGACATCTCATCTCAGTCATCTCCAAGCTGAACAGACCAAGTAACCTCAGCTGCTCCTCATACAGCTTCCCCCCAAAGCCATTCACCAACTTTGTAGCCCTTTGTGGGACACTTTCCAATAGCTTTATCATTTTTATATTATGGCACCCAAAACTGCCCCCAACACTGGAGGTGAGGCTAGCTCAGTGCAGAGCAGAGGGGACAATCCCCTCCCTTGCCTGGCTGTGATGCTCTGCCTGATGTCCCCCAGGACTTGGGTGGCCCTCCTGGCTGCCAGGGCACTGCTGACTGGTGTTCAACTTGCCATTGACCAGGACCCCCAGGTCTCTTCCCATGGCATGACTTTCCAGCCTCTTATTCCCCAGCCTGTACACCAGGGTTGCCCCATCCCAGGTAGAGAATCCAGCACTCGTCTTTGTGTAACTTTCTTGTCTCATTTCTCCTTACTCTGACAACCTCTCTATATTCATTCCAAGTGGCCTGATCCTGCTTCCATCTCCTGTGTATTTCCTGGTCACACTTAAGTAATGACAGGAGTTCTCAATTCATCTACATAGATCTCTTTCCCCTCTGCCTGATTTCTTACTCATCAGGATGCATCATTCTTGAGTCTGGAGGAAGTGATTCTTGAATATCAATCAGTTCCCTTGGAACCCTCTTCTTCATGCAGTATCTGTTCCTACAGCATTCTTTCAAGAAAACCTTTTAAAGTTAGATCTCCTGAAGTCCATGATTACAGTCTTGCTGTCCTGTTTCCTTATTGCCCACTACTGAATTCCACAACAGTCATTACATCCAAGGCTGCCCTCAACATTCACATCTTCAACAAGGCATTCATTACCTGTTTGTTAGTATAAGGCTGAGGAGCACACCACTCCTCATGGGATCCTCCACCACTTGTGTCAGAAAGTTGTCATCAATGCTTCCCAGTAATGTTGACACCTTCCTAATCATCCCCACAGTTAAGCAGCTAGAAATCCTTCCCTCCCCACCTTCCCCTCTTTTCACACAACATTTTTATACTACCAGAGTTGTTATCATAGAAGAAGAATAAATATTATCAAGTCATATAAAAGAGAGTTTAAGCCTGAAAAAATCCCAGTTGCTCTTCACTCTTCCCCTCAAAGGAAACAATCTACAGAAATTACTTTGAAATGTTGCTCTAACTCTGAGCCACAGAAAACAAAGTGTAGGTGGTTTTAGATATTAGCAGGAACATAGGATGAGACTTTAAAAGCATGACTATATCATTCTGATGAGGTCTCAGGTCACTCGGCCTGTAATTCATAGTCCATGCCACATAGCAAACAAAGCAGGTTTGTCTTCAGCTGTAGAGGTATATATATATTTAATCAGTATGTTCAAACCTATTTCCAGTATGCTTGCACCAAGACATTAAAGTAATTTTTACTGCGAATTTTTTCAACCTCCATAGTATTAATCTTCCACACCGGAAGTTATGTGACTATTCAAGTGCTTATAGAAGCAAAAACAAAAAACAAACTTACAGACTCTTGTAGTGCTTTTAGTAAGGTGTTAGTAAGTAGCTGAAAGCTTAGCATTTACAGCACTGCTGAACTAGGGCCTAAATACAACTGTGGGACACAGAATAAAAATTATCAACCCTCCACACTAATAAAGACAGGCTAAAAACTTTGCTTTGTTGTTTCCTAACCTTCCCCATTCCATCCTCTACTTTGTGCAAATTCCCTGCACAGTCGTGGGGGAGTCTTTTCTTCTAAGACACAGAACACCCAGGCTACAGTTACAGTGGTGACACAATATCAAAATGATCTACCATACCCCATCCATGATCACTCTGAGAAGTTGTAGAAAAACAGAATATATTCAACAGTTTTGGAGCTTTATTTTCTGCACAGTATTTATACTGAAGAATTTTCCTCTTTTACTTGGAACAGAAGGAACAGAGAATTGGAAAAGACAGTAGAATGGAGAATTTCCTTTTTGACTGTGTTAGGAGAAGAAGTGGAAGTACGGCGTACATGTTGCTTTACATACTGCCCAGCAAGAGCTACAAAACATTCTGCATCAGATCTGGCAAGAATGTGGAAGGGGCTAACAGTGGACTTGTTAGCTAAAGAAGCAAGAGGAAGCAAGAAGAAACTGATAAGTAGCTCTCTCCAAGGCTGTAATTAAGGAGACGAAGAGAAGAAAGGAATTAAAGAAAGATAAGGTAGCTAGACGAAGTATTTTTAGGAAGTTAGTTGAAGTCACTGTAGCTTTTCACCAATGGTGCTATGTTGATTAATTGTAGCCAAGAGATAAGGTAGAAGAAGCATAAATTACTAGAAAGTGTATAAAAAGTCACCCATGTTCAATAATAAAGGGTTGCCATCTGAGACTCCTTGTGGTCTCTACTTCGTATCGTGACCGCCCCGACAGCGACACAAGAACAATAGTCTCCTATCACCAAAACACAGGAATTAGGTTTGCTATTGAGAGACAGGGAACACAGCATCACTGTTAGCCTGATGTACCAGTAACATTGGTGTGGACTGGGAATTGACAAGCATTTCTCATCAAGAGTCTGAATCCAAAAACCGCAAAGGGAGTGGAAGAATTACTGAAAATTAGTTTGGGTTTGCCTGACTCCCTAGTACACTGCTAATGAAATCAACAGAAACTTGAAAGGAAGATCCATTGTACTAACTTGTCTGGTTGTTTACCTGCTTTTTGCCTGAATGGAAGTCCATCTATTCTGGAGAATCACAAATTCTAAAACTTTGTGAAAAGGTTTCTAAAACTGTTGCTCTTTATTTTATTGTCTTTTCAATTATCAATGGCTATATAATTTTCATATGTATCCAGTGCTCTAATCTCTAAGCCATACATTCACTTCCCACAGGGCAGTAAGACTTTTTATATACATGGAAAAAAATACGAGGTTTTTGATACTTGGATCAGATAATAATTCAGAGAGGGAATCCCAAAAGCATCTGCTCTTTAGGTTAGATTAAATGTTCCTGAATGCTAAAGATTCCCTTTCAATATAGAATCACAAAGGAGTACTGTCAAAGGACAGCATGAAGCTTTGTGCTGTACATTTCTTGGGAAATCAACATTTATCTTTCAAAGAGGATGCTGGATTGAAATATCAATTTCTCAAACTTATTAGGAAACAACAGCCTCTTTCTGGTACAGTTTTTTCTATCACCAAGAAAACAGTCTGAGTTGAAAGGGGAATTCAATTCAAAATCCTCCTGAAAAGAAATCATCACTGCTCAGAAGAACACAGGATTTTAAGTGTTATTTAAAAGAGATATTTTCCTTAACAATTATGTGTAGTACAAATACTGTGTGACCCTTTATTATGATTTCCAGTAAATAAAGTTGCTTATGAATATTTGATTTCAATTAAGGTTGGTTTCTTTACAATTCAATTCAGGATCTATGGGCAGGTTAAAAGATTTAGGTCTGGAAAGTTGAAACAGTAACAGTCTGAAGAAGGACACCACTTGTCAAGTGTACATTGTATTCCACCTATCCCTTACATCAGGTTTCTGCACATAGGAACAGACATCCCTTATCTGACACACATTTGTTTACAGTTGAAGATTCTCTGAAATTAAGCACAGCACCTAGACAGATTTCCAGTGCTGAAGACTTTTGGAACTTCCATATTTTTAATGCAAGGAACAGAACAGTAGGTCTGTCTTACAGTCTCTTTTGCAAACATTCGCACATTAACTGTCCACTCAGTAAGCTACCAAGTTAGCTTGTCCTCCAGCTGTGGAAGGCTTTTCAGGGACAACCAGATCATAAAACCAATTTCCTTTCTGCATAACATCTTTAGATGTGACAATCAAACAGCTATTTAGAAGAGCAATGTTTTAAACTGGGAGAAATACGTTTCACAACTAGTATGGTAAAGGTATACAACATCTGCTCTGAGTTATAATGAAAACAATATGGCGTACCTCTGAGGATAATGAAAAGCTTCATTGAGACAGAAAAGACAGAGTTACTCAGACATGGCCTTAAAATCAAGGTTGTTCAAAATCCCTCCTTATGCTTCATCTTTTCAGGATAAGGGTAATGTAAAAAAATAGTCCTCAGTAATCACAGATCTGACCTTCTTTGTTTTGTCCCACACTACCAGTAGGTGACTGATACTATTATAAAGCTATTTCAATATTAATGAAATATCCAGTATAAATTGGACAGCTAATGAGTAGTATGATACATGAACATTTTTGCATTTGCACCTTGGCAAACAATTTTTATGCCAAAGAAGGTGCTGCTGATCCAGAAGCAAAAAGTGCATTCTCCTATGACTAGCTAGGGTAGTCTGTGACTTTATTAATTGGAAAGCTTCCACGTACTCATGTGCCTGATTTGCAGAAGCTGTGTTCTGCCAAATTATGCAAAGCAACAGCTAGCAGGTTTTGTGCTCAAAACTCTCTTCCTCATTCACAGTCAACAGTCAAGTTCAATCAAAATAAACAGTTTTGAAATAACTCGGGACTTTCAAGATGAAAATCATTCTCTTACTCCGTGCCAC